TACAATGAGCTGACTTCCAGTTTTGGCTATTATGAGTAAAGCTGCTATGTACAAGTCTTCTTCTGGGCCTACTTTCACTTCTTTTGAGTAGTTCCCTGTGATATGGGTGATAGGGTAAGCATATGTTTAAGCTTATAAAAATCTACAGCGCCTTCTTTTGAAGTGGCTGGATGAACTTATCCCTCGCAGCCATGTCTGAGTGTTCTGGTTACTCCACAGCCTCTCTGACGCTTGGAATTGTCATACATTTCTTTAATGATGCTGAACATCTTTTTATTTGACATCTGGATGTTCCTTTAAATCTTTGCCCGTTTTGTAGTTTTTTGCGGTTATGGTTAACTACTGAGTTGCAAGAGTTGCTGCCTCTTTTTTGAGTTGGGCCTAAATGAGATCATGTATGTCACTCAGTGGCCCTCCTGGCATTCTCCTCTCTGCCCCTTTTGTACATACAAAAGTTGGGGTGTAGGCCAGAGACAGGAGAGATCTGCCGTGGGGTAGGTCCCTGGCTGGGGATCGAACTTGTTCTGCAGTGGCTGCCTATAGCTTGATAGAACTGAGACTTAACCCTTGCGCCACCAGGGAGGCCCTAAATATTATTGGACATTAAGCTGGGCTCAGCCCGCATAGTGGACACCCTGAGCCCTGTGATTGTTTTGGTGGTTCCAGGTGTTGAAAACCCCACTTTGCACATGCAAGGGTAGCTGCTGCATGGCCCAAGGTGAGGCTAGGTACTGGCCAAGACCCTCAGGCTTCTCCAGGCTCCTCCAGGCTTGTTGAGTCAGACTCAGTGGTGAGAACCTGGATCCCACTGTGGAGGCCCGAGAACCCCAAGCACAGAGTTACTCACGTTGACCTGTCACGGCTCTGCAGTGTCTGGGGCTGGTGCCCCGAGTTCACGTGGTCCTGGCATGTGATTTAAACGGGGTGACGTGTGCAGTCAGGTTTCCACATACCAGCACACCTGTGGCGGGGTGTGGTGGTGCCTTTGAGCTCAGCTGTCTGCGCGAGGGTGGCCTTCGCTGGTGATGGAAGGAAACGCTCTCTGTAACTAGGTGTTAGGAAAACAAAGGCACACTTGTCTACAGTGGCCTGCGTTTGTGGATCCCCACCTCACACTCTAGTCCCATCCTGGTCCAACCTGACCCACCTCTTTTCCCTGCAGAGGTTTTGTTACAGGACAGGGAGAGGGGCACCCCACATCCCCCAAACCTGCCTGCTCTAAATAGGTTCCATTCAAGAGAAAACATGTTAGTGTGCAATACAGACAAGAGTATAGTTTCCAAATCAAGCACCCAAAGGTACCCATCCCCTCATGGGTAAATATCCAGCCAAACAAGGTTGGTCCAAAACAAGGCCAGAGAGCTTGCCTCAAGTCTAAAGCACTTTTGGTGAGGATCCACAGAAATGGCTCAGAAACAGCTAGCCAAGTCTGGGAGGAAAAGAGCAAAATCAAAATCAAGATAAAAGTTGGCATTATTAACTTCCCCAAGGGTCTCACACCCCCACTTGTTTTGCCCAGTCCAGGGCCAAGAGGAAGCAAGCAAAGTTTCTTCACATGCTCTCTGCTCCCTGTGCCTCCCTCAGGTCTCCTTCTGGCTCTCCATCCTCCTTCCTTCTTTCTTCAGTCTCCTCCAGCTTCTTCTCTCCCCTGCTCAGCTCCACCGTCCCTTGGGTAAGCAGGGAACCCGGACCCTCCCCTTTACCTGGGGACTACCCTCTTTCAGTTTGAGCACTAGAAAGTCCTCCACCCACAGCCCTGCCCTTAACTGACCACTGTCCCTGGGAGTGGACAGTGATGGTGGGAGCATTGCTACTGAATTTAGGAGCCAGCATTTGGAGCTGGAGGAGCTTTCAGTGCATTCTGTCCATCCCTCGTGTCATTTATGGCTGGGGATACTGAGCCCAGAGAGGGGAAGGAGGTTGCCTAAGGCCACACAGCATGTGACTGTGGCCAGCAGTGTGAAGACCCCTGTGCTGTCCCTCTGGGGGTAGGGTGAGAGAGATTTGATGGTAAGAGTTGGAGAGTGAGAAGTCTGCGGATATGCCCTCCTCTAGGTATTTTGAAGGCTGGTCACCTTCCCGCCCCCCTGCAGCTGTGCACATCTGTGTTGTTTCTAGCTGCTTCTATAGGGACTGGAAGGGCCTGACACTGTCTGTGGAGCCTGTGACAGATGAGGGTGGTCAGGGCTGAAGCTAGAAGGGAAGCAGGGGGCTTCCTCCCCACCGCACCCTCTTATGGTGGGATCCCGGGCCTTGACCTGCAACTGGAACCACCTGGTGCTGCCACAGGCCCTTTCCTGACCTGGCTGTCTCTCTCCTTGAGGACACCCTGTTCTGAAGGAGGCTGTTCCCACTTACGGACTACTGAGAGGGGTCTGGAGAGCTTGAGTGAGGGGTGTTTGCTCATTACTGTGGCAGGGGAAGGAGGTACTTGGAGGCAGGTCAACTTTCTTTTTTTAAGATTTATTTATGCATACAGAACTGGGGTACAAGCCAGAGGTGCAAGGGGGTGAAAGGATTCGCCAGAGACAGAGTGGGGAGCAGAACAGGCAGATCATCAATGTACACCGCTGAGGGGAGCAGTGGGCGGGACAGATGCACTATGTGGATCACCTCCTGGGCGGGGATTCAACTCGCACTGCAGTGGCTGCGGCCAGCTCACAGTGGTGCACTTTAACCCGTTGCGCCACCAGGGGGGGCCCTGGAGACAGGTCAGCTTTCATGGCTGTGCTGATATCCAGCCTGGGGTTCTCTTGAAGCTGTCTGTGTTTAGGACTAGGGCTCATTCCTTCTGTCGCTGATGAGAGAGAGAGAGATTGCACAGGGTGTTTTGAGCGTTGATGGACTTATAAACACAAGGTGTGCATGTTAACAAAGCTGTCAGATGATTGCTGGGGATTTTCAAAAATGAAAAGGGTGGGGTGGAGGAGAAGGGATGAGAGGGACTGGTGGTGGTGGCTTGGGAAGGTTCTGGGAGAGGTGGCTGAGTCTGGAGGTCATTCTGTCTAGGTGCCCTTTAGAGGAAGAGCCTGAGCACAGCCCTTGGGGAGGCCCAGAGGGCACCACTGGGCACCAGCCGCTCACACTCAAGGCTGTGCAGAGTGAGCACCCAGTGAGCTCAGCCTTCAGACTGACTTGTTGACCTACTGACCATGCCATCTCTACTGAGGTGCTGCTGCTGGTCGGAGGGGAAAGGGGTTGGGGGTGCGGGGAGTGTGGATGAGAGGAGCAGATAGTCCCCACAGACCTGGAGCAGCCCCGTCTGGCTGAAGGCAGCTCAGGGAGTTGGGTTCTCAAGACTGCTATGTCCCCGTGCTGCTGAGAGTGGGCCACCTCGGGGTGGGGCTGGGAGTGGGGAGGGCGGGTTGTTCTGCCCCTCCTGATCCTGGGCCCTCAGTGCGGCCTGGGGCCCACGGTGGAGTGGGGCCCGCTGCTGAGCTCTTAGGTCCTGTGAACCTTTGTCATCCTTTGCTTGGGTGTGTGTGGAATTTCCAGTCCCTTCTCTTCCTAGCAGCCCTGGCTCTTGGAACTCTGAGCCCATCTTCCCTACACCTTCTACTAGCTCTTGACAGGTTTTCCAGTCCACCTCCCCAGCCATTGTGTGTGTGTGTTGTTGTTTTTTTAATAATATAATAGTTTATTTTACATCATTTTATACATTTTTTTAATCATCTCAATTGTAATCCCCATGGGTTTCCCATCACCAAATCACCCCTGTGCTATCACCATAGTCCCGTGCACTTCCCTCCCTCCCTCCCCCGGTTTTGATCCCATTCCCCACTCCACCCCCACAGAATGTCTCTGGTATATGGCTGTTCATTACTCTTATTATTTTCTTGCCTGGTCCACTGACTCCTGCTATGAGCCAGCCATTGTTTTCCTAGTTTTAAGTTTATTAGCTAGCATCCTGAACAGAAAAATCAGAAACTGCAGATAGGCAGACAGCAGAGAAGAGAGTTGTTTATAATGTCATGACTTGCTGATAACTCCCCATAGTGTCTTGATGTATGCAAGAGAATACATATTCGATGTGAGGGAAAGTACCAGACTTTTCTCCTGACACACTTTCATGAATTTAAGCAGGACTGTAGCCTGTATTTGCTTTGCGTCCTGCTTGCTCCTAATTCTTGAGGTCTTACCAGGTTGTCAACATGATCTTTTTCAGGACTGTTTAATATTCCACCTTAAGGATGCCCCATAACTTGTTGGATGGAGACTGTGTGCATGCTTTGTTATGATAAACAAGACCTACTTTAAAGTAAATCAGCTACCTTTTGTGCCTTGTTAAGTAGCAGAGAGCTTGCAGAAGGAACTGGCACCCACTGGGGTGTCGTTTGTGCTTCATAGGGGCAGAGCTTTGCCTGTTGATGTTTTGGTGTTGATGGTGATGGCATTGGTGATGATGATGTTGGTGTCATTGGTGTTGACAGTGGTGATCTCGATGTTGATGAGTTCACGACCCAGGTGTTTTAACTGAACACTCGATCCGCTGAGAGCTCACCCAGTCTGGACTTCCCAGGCCTCACTTTATGACATTCATGGCTCTGATGTTCTCCTGTATCCTTTTCTATCCAGGTCCTTTAAATCCAAGTTGGGTTAACTTCTGAAACTGTCCCCGGTTCTCCCTCCAATGATTGTTTCTCCTTCACTCCAATCTGGAAGGTCTGGCCTCCACGTGGCCTGCCCTGGCCACATAGACCCCTATGTGATGTGGAGTGTTAACCCTTTCTTAGATGTTATTTTTGCCAGAGGAGTAGAAACTGTGTAAGGTTGGCTATGGGTCTCTGTGTCTCTGAACGTCCACAACTTCTCCAGAGAATCAAAAAGGGCCAGACACATAGTTGACACTGAGCAGACATGTGAGGGTCAGTGCCAGACTCTCTGGCTCTCTGGGTCCCAGACTTTACCTTGCCCAGACTGTTGGGTGAGGGTTGGGCTTGATTCCTTCTTACTGTGACTTTTCTCACCCTTCCTTCACCACACATGTTCTCACCCCACAGGTCTCGGGTCCTGAGGCTGCTGGCAGACTATGGGTACAACAGCCAGCACAGCTCAGCATTCTGTCTCGGCGGCTGCCCCTTTCGAGGGCCTCCAGAGTGGTGGCACGATGGAAGGACGGCACTCACTCAGCGTCCACTCCTTCCAGACCACAGGCTTGCACAACAATAAGGCCAAGTCGATCATCCCCAACAAGGTGGCCCCTGTCGTGATCACGTGAGTGGCAGAGGGCTTGGGCCATGTCCCAGGGGCAGGGGAGCTGCCTTGAGGGGTGGTGGCATACAGCATTTCTCCAAACCACTCTCACAGAGGAAGACACTGAAGCCCAGAGAAGTTAAGCAGTTTGTCTGGAGTCAACAGCCAGCGGGTAGCACAGCTGGCTTCTGTTGAGGGTTTCTTAGCTGCTGGTACATAGCAAGTCCACAGTACTGGGAGTGTGGAGAGGGAGAAGTGGCCGGGGTGGATACCTTTTTGAAAATGATTTTTGACTGAACATTTTCATAGGAAAATGATATACTTAGATCCATAAAATATAGATTTCTTTTTTCTTAACCAGTAATTATGGCTCAAAACTGAGGTCAACACCAGGCCATTAAAAAAGATCTTGGGCTGAAAAAACTAGTGGCTACTGGTTGATGCTCCTAATTAGGTCCTGCAGGGGTATTCCTGGAGGAGGAGGCCGGAGGAGGCAGAGGGTTCACTCTGGCACCGTATTTTGAGAGACCTGGAACCATACTGTGTGTCCAGAGAAAGGTCAGGAAGGGGCTCTGAAACCCTGCCTGCCTTATGGGGCCTGAGGATCTGTCTCCTGGTGAGTCAGGAAGCTGTGTCTTATATCACATCTGCCCACTGATCCCCCCTGCCCCTGGGCCCCTCCGGGGTGCAGGAAGTAGGATGCGATGAGCTAAGAATTAAATGTGTTCCATACATGGAAGTTTGGCAGAGACCTAGCAAACGGGGCCTTTTGTGTAAGGAAATCTGAGGGGTGGGAATGATGAATCTGGCCTGCTGGTTTTGGGGACTGCCAGTAAAATTTGTAATCATAGTATATTGCTGTGCGTAAGAGATACTGTATAAGAGTCTTGATAGGGAGTCCATCTATTAATAGATGACAAAATTAGGCGTGGGACTTGAGGGCAGTATTGGAGACATTCATTTGTCCTAGGCCTGGGCTCTACCTCCTCTTTGCTCTGTGATCTTGGGCAAATCCTTTTCTCCTCTCTAGGTTTTAATTCCTTATCAGGGTATGTGGGATGACATTCAAAATATTTAACCCAGTGCTGTGGCTCAGATTAGTCACCGGTTTGTGGTGAAAACAAACCTTCTACAGTGGTTCCGTGCCTGCCACCCCCCAAGCTGGTCACGAATGCAACCCTCTTTGGATTGTAGTGTGTTTGTGGTGGAAGGGACCTTAGAGGTCCTCTGATAATGGGACTGGCATATTCTCCTGCAGGCCAAATCTGTGCAGGTCCCTGTTTTTGTAAATAAAGTTTTATTGGAACAGTGTCACTCCCATTCATTTACATATTGTCTGTGGACAGTGGAGCGTAACAGAACTTATAACCCAGAGTGTAAAACACTATCTGGTCTTTCGTCTTGTGTATGAAAGATTTGCCAACTCCTGATTTAATACCTTTTAGATCAGCAGTGAAAACTGACCTAGGTTAAAAACCTGGTTTTCAGGATGGTAGAGGCTTTCCCTACAATAGAGCATGTGGTGAAATGGAGGCAGCGTCGTCGGCCGCAGGAATCCAGGGCTCCTGACTCCTGCCTGGTGCTTTCCCATCTCACCCTCACCCACCACTCCTCACCCTGCCTTTCCTGAAGGCAGAAGTTTTATAAAGAGGGTGGTTAACAGTGTCTCGTCGTCGTGTAGTTACAATCAGCATAATAGCTTTTGTGTCTTGAGTGTAAGAGTTCCCCTCGTTTGGCATATATGGAACTCTAGATTTGTTCCTGTGGGTTTCGTTCCAAATGGTCCCCTATGGAGGTTAGAACTACTCCTAGCAATAGTAATTATACTAACAAAAGCTTTCTGTGTGCAGAGTGCTGGACCAAACACTTCCATTCATTAGCACACTGAGTTTTCACAACAGTCCTAGGAGGTGGGAAGTGCTGGACATAGAACTGTAGGGAGAATTACTTCAAAGTCATGAACTTACCACGTGGTGGAGCAGGATGTGTGCCCAGACTATGTGGCCCCAAATTATCAGCATGTGGGGGATTGTTCTCAGAGATAATCTGAAGGAGGGTGCATTTGCGATTCAAGTAACCACTGAATAGGATAAACAAGATCCTATTACATGCTCTTCTAAACAAGAAAGAAGCTTCTCTTGAAGTCCAGGAGGTGCTCCAGGCTGGTATGGACGCTACATGTTCCACCAGACTCCTCATCTCTCGTTGCCCCGCCGTCACCAACATCTATTTTCCACCATGACTTCTGGAGGTTAGCCAGAGAGGAGAGAGAAGTGGAAGGCACACGCCTCCCCTTTCAGAAAATACCCTAGAAGTTGTACTTCTCACACTTCATTGGCCAGAACTTAATCACGTGACCACTAGTTGCAAAGGAGGCTGGGAAATGTAGTCTTCAACTGGACGCCTAGGCACAATACTGGGTTTCTGTTACTGAGGAAGAAAGGGAGACTGGATACTGGGGGACAGTAGGCAGTCTGCACTGCCACAGATGGGTAGTTGCAGGGGTGAGGGTGCGGTGGCCTTGCTGGAGGATCTGGTGAGGGTGGGATGGACCCTGGCCATGGAGGTTGTCTGACTTGATCTCCCTCCATTCTCTCCTTGACAGATACAACTGCAAGGAGGAGTTCCAGATTCATGATGAGCTGCTCAAGGCCCATTACACCCTGGGCCGGCTCTCTGATGCCACCCCCGAGCACTATCTGGTGCAGGTGAGGCCAACCCCGGCCCTTCCATCTCCCTGCCCCCTGCTAGCCTCTCCCCACTCCTCCTATCCTTCTCCCTCCCTCACCTCCCCCTTCTCTGCTGCACTGCCTCACCCCACCCTCCAGGGTCCTGCTCTTACTTCTTCTCCCCCCATTTCTCCTGCTTTGTCGCACTCCCTGGTCTTCTAGTTCACCCTCTCTCTGCCCCAGCTTACCCACAAGCTCTTCTGCAGAGCACCAGGGAATAGAGAGATGGCAATCTGAAAACCCCAGACCTCAGGCTGCTCCCCTCAAGCTGGGAATCTCCATCCCATTCTCTTTTGAGGTTTTAGAAGTTCTAAAGAAGCTTAGGTGTTTTCCTCCTGAAATATCCCCAGAAAGTAAAGTCCACGAGGACAGATCTATCCTGTTCACTGCTGAACAGTGCTTGGGTACCATGTAGGTGCTTAGTAAGTGAAGCATCATGGTTCAATTGTACTTGTTGAAAGAGTAGCTGGGAATTTCTGGTTTCTGAAAGAATGGATTCTTTCTTCTTATCTATCAGACAATGTAGGCGTGGGTCCTGCTGGAGGCAAGGGGTGGATAAGGGGGCACCCCCTTTTGCCCAGGAGTGAGCTGGTCCCTGAGTTCTGTCTTCCTCTCCTCTGTAGTCACAGAATCTGTTCGCCCCTATTGGGGTGTGCGTTGGGAAGGATGCCTTTACACCCCCAGAACTGCAAGGCATTATGAAATGGCTAGCACAGGTTTCCTCTGGCTGATTCCTGGTACCCCAGCTAGGAGTCCCCACTGGGACCCCTTCTTCATGCATTTCCTCTGGGAGTGTTTTCCATCTGAGGAGCTGCATGCCCTCAAGAACCACCTGTGGTTTCTTGCCCTTGGACTGCCTCTGTCTGTTCTTTCTTTAAGACCCAGCTCAGATGCCGCCTCCTACATGAAGTCTTCTCTGATATACCCTTGGGAAGAGTTGTCTTTCATTTTCCTGTACTCTGACACCCTTCCTGGGATCTCAGTTGGTCATGCAGTTTGTTTCCAATTTCCGGTCTTCTCTACCCCCTCTTCCTGCTCTCTGTCCCCTGAGACCCAGGACAGAGCCCCATCTGTAGATGTCACTGAGTCATCTGAGTGACCTCCCTGTGGCTTTCCTTCTGCCAGGGACGCTACTTCCTGGTGCGGGATGTTGCTGAGAAAATGGACATGCTGGGCACAGTGAAAAGCTGTGGGGCCCCCAACTTCCGGCAGGTGCGGGCCGGGCTCACCGTGTTTGGCATGGGACAGCCCAGTCTCTCAGGGTTCAGGCGAGTCCTTCAGAAACTCCAGAAGGATGGGCACAGGGTAAGTATGAGCATTTCCAGCCAGGGGTTAGCCTCCCCGATCGGGGAGTGGGGGCTCCTTGGGAGAGGTGCTTCAGAGTCTCTAGTAGGGTCTCTGCACATGCTGGCCAGGGTGTCTGGTAACCTGGACCAGGCCCTGCTACACCCTGAATGCCACGGAGGCCATTGTGGTTGGCATGGTTGGGAAATTCTGGGTGAAATTCTGGGGACTGGGGGAGCCCTGAGGTCAGAAGTCCCTGCATCTACTTTGAGAAGTTCTGAGGAAGTGAGAAGGGGGACAGGGTGACCAGAGAGGTTCAGGCCATTATGAGCGAGCCAGAGGATGCCCATCACCACTAACTCTTGTATCTTCATGTCAACCTCAAGGCGGGGCAGTTATCCTCCTGCTTTACAGAGAGAAACACTGAGGCCCTGAAAGAAGGTCCACACTCATGCGTGTGTCCCCAAACCCAAACCCAGACATCTGGACCCTGAGGACCTGCTTTTAATGCCTCCTCTCTGCTGCCTGAAGTCACAGTGGAGTTTCGAGCATCTTTAGGACAAAGGCTGAGGGTTGTCTCTGACTGCAGACTTGGGAGCAGCCTGCATCACATCTGACCCGGGGCTAAGATGGAGAGGCCTCTGTGGGCCAGAGCGGGGTGGGCGCTTCGGGGTACACGGGTTCCATCCTCCCATCTTCACTCCAGTTCCTACTCTGCCCACATGCCTGCCCCCGGCTGCCCCTGCCTGTCTCGTGCCTAGTGAATGAATGATCGCATGGTGTGTGTGGGGGATTCATTACTTCAGCTGATATCTACTAAGCCCCTGATTTATCCAGGGTTCTGTGCTGGGAATTGAGGGGTCATGGAAATAACCAGGACATGCCTACCTGTGAGGAACAACAGTACTTTACAAAGGGAGAAAAGATGTATGTGTTGATAATGTTAACACAAAGCAAGAATTAATGCCCTGGGATTCAGATGAAGGACTGTTGGCTCTGAGAGGCAGGAGTGTTGGGGTGAAGTAACCCTTGGAGTAGGCTTGGGGTTACTTCAGGTTCAGGATTCAGGTTACAGGGACGGGGTGGGGTGATGGGACTTGAGGAACGGCGCGTGTCCCGGTCCAAGGCTGGGAGATGAACAGAGGACGGGTGTCCTTGCCAGTGGTGGTGAGGGCGTCCTCTCTCCTGGGCTCTGGCAGGAATGCATCATCTTCTGTGTGCGGGAGGAGCCCGTGCTGTTTCTGCACGCCGAGGAGGACTTTGTGCCCTACACCCCTCGAGATAAGCAGAACCTTCGAGAAAACCTTCAGGGTCTTGGATCTGGAGGCGGGGTGGAGAGCTTGGAGCTGGCCATCAGGAAGGAGGTGAGGGCTGGTAGGGTGGGGGCCCCCATTCCTCCATGGGCCTCAGGTAGCTGAGCTGAGACCCACCCACAGCCCAGCTTTGCTCTTTTGTCCTGCGTGTCCTCGCTGACTTCCACACCCCTCTCCGTACCCCTCTGGTGTTTCTGCCCTGATTGGGCGAGTGGCTGACTTCATAGCCAGCTCATGAGTACCCAGAGGGAGGACTTCCTGATCTGACCGTTTGCACACTATTCCTCACTCTGCTCTTCTCCACACTCAGCATCCTTATTTAGAAGTGGCCTGGGGCTGTGAAAGGCCTAGGTTAGAAGTCCCCAGACTGAGGTAGAGTTGAGCTTTGGGCCCGAGGTGAGGTGCTTTTCTCCTTGGGCTCCTGCTTCTGAGGTTCCTCTGCCTCCTCCCACAGCATGGAGACTTGTCAAGGCCTTAGAGGCTGTTGACACACCATGAAGGTGCATAAGTGGGCTGTGGGTGGGCACGGTGTCCCAGAGACCCCCATGCTAGGGGGGCAAAGCCACTCTGGCCACCGGTCATCACCGTTTCAGGCCTCCTTTTCCCAGCTCCCAGGTGACCGCGCCTCGGTGTGGGCCTTCTCAACTTGTGGAGGGGGCTGGCTGCCCTCGGGTTGGTGGCCACCCCCACTTCCTCTTAGCACCCAGGGCACAGAGTGTGCCACGGGCCTTGTAGATCCCTCTGGAGGAAAGGCAGTCTGCCCCTCTCTCTGTGGTCCAGTCCTTTCAGAGCTCAGCCGGGAAGATTGAGAGGGAGCTCAAGGCCCATCCTGACCCTCTGGCCCCTACAACTCCATGTAGATCCACGATTTTGCCCAGCTGAGCGAGAACTCATACTATGTGTACCACAACACCGAGGACCTGAGAGGCGAGCCCCATGCTGTGACCATCCGGGGTGAGGATGATGTGCACGTGACCCAGGAGGTGTATAAACGACCCCTCTTCCTGCAGCCCAATTACAGGTACTGTGGGCCGGTGCGGGCGGCTCTGGGCCTCCAGGGACCCCCGGTGCTGGGAGAGGTGGGTGCTGGGGGGCTTCACGGGTGTGTGGCCTGCTTGATGGACTGCTTCCCTTGACCTGGCAGGTACTACCGCCTGCCTCTGCCAGAGCAAGGAGCCCCCCTGGAAGCCCAGTTTGATGCCTTTGTCAATGTCCTCCGGGTAAGAGGGAGCGGAGGGTGTTACTGGGGCACCGGGGGAGTAGGGCATCTGCCTGGAGAGTTGGTCAGTGTCTAGGTCCTGTCCCCACAGAGCTGCTCAAGGGGGGCGTGGCACTTTCCCAGCGTTACTCAGAGTAAGGCCTTGTAGGTGTGGTGTGTGGGGTCCATTTGTCAGTGGTGTGGGCATCTGTGTTCTCTAATGACCCAGTCCAGCAATGACCATCTGGAGGGCAGGACTTCGGCCCCGGCTTGGCTGCTAACTGGTGTATGGCCTTGGACAAATCTCCTGCCCTCTCTAGACTTCTCGTTCCTCACTTCTCTACCGGAGTTCAACATTCTCACTCTGTAGTCTCTTCCTGTGGTGTCTCTGTCCCAACCCCTTCATTACTGAATTTGCATTATTTCATTCTCCTCTCACAGGAGCTGCTAAGTAAGGCCATGCCTGCTCTGAGCAGTCCTCACATCTAAAGCCTCGCTGAGTGCCCCACTCTCCCCTCCCCCCACCTACCCTACTCCTAGCCTCTAATCCTCACCCACCCGGCCTGGGGAGGAGGCAGGGCTTAGGCTACTCTGCTGGGGGTGTGAGGGGTGAAGAGACCAGGCTGTGGGGAAGACGCTGAGCCTCCTGCCTGTAGGCCTCACCCTGCTGCAGACTGTGGGGTGGGGGTGGGCTGAGGTTATGAAACACCCCCCTTCCCCCCAGACCAAACTGGGGCCTCAGCCAATGGTTTTCCAGTCATGCTGTTGCTGATCTTCGTGGTCTTGCCCCAGGAGACCCCCAGCTTGTTGCTGCTCCGAGACTCCCATGGGCCTCCTCCTGCTCTCCTCTTCAGCTGCCAGACGGGTGTGGGCAGGACCAACCTGGGTATGGTCCTGGGCACCCTCATCCTGTTTCACCACAGTGGGACTGCCTCGAGACCAGAGTGAGTGGCCTGGGGGCCTCGAGTCCCAAGGGACAAGGAGAGGGCCACCCTGGATGATGGGATGTATTGGGGTCCAGAGCCAAAACTGGAGATTGGGCATCGGGGGTTCATTTCCTGTCAGACTTGCCAGGGACCTTGAGAAAGCCACTGGGCCTTAGTTTCCCCGTAGGGGAAAACTCCCCTGGCCTCTGGCAGCCTGATTTGGAGTGAAGACTGGGGGTCTCCAACTGCCTCTCAGTGGCCATCTGAATGCGCGAGGAGTGCATTGGGGCTGTCCTGGAGGCTTCTGGGAGCTGCTCACTCTGTTGCCCCCTGCCTTGAAGGGCTGTCTCCCCACAGACCAAGCCACTCCCCATGGAACAACTCCTGGTGATCCAGAACTTTCTACACATGGTGCCCCAGGGGAGGAAGATAATGGAGGAGGTAAGCCAGGGAGCTGGGCACCAGCTGAGGCAGGGGCAGTGGCAGACATGACTCCTCCAGGGTGGGGCTGCTTCCTGCCGGGGTCCCCTCCCCCTTCTCAGCCACTCATTCTTTCCTCCCTCTCGTCTCTTCCCTTCCCTGCTATGGTCCCACACCCTGTCCTCTCCTTGCTGCCGTCCCTGCGGCCCTGTCCTGGTCCCTGATACCAGGTGGACAGAGCCATCACCGCCTGTGCAGAGTTGCAAGACCTGAAGGAAGTGGTCTTGGAAAACCAGAGGAAGCTGGACGGCGTCGGGCCAGGCAGCCCAGGGCAGGTGAGCATGAGCGCCTTTGCTCTGGCTGTGCCTACGGCCTCATTTTGCTAGAATGGTCGCTGGTTTCTCTCAGACTGACCTTTCCTGGTTGTTCCTTCTCCCAGGAGAAGAGCAGCTTTCAGAGGAAGGAGAGATAGAGTTGGACTTGCAGAAGGACACGGACAAGGAAGGGGGGATGTTTACTTTTCCTGGCCAGAATAAACAGGATGGAGAAAGGGGCTGCTGGCGGGGCCTGGGGACTAATACTGCACAGACAGCTTGGAGCTCCCTGGCCAATAAAATGCTTGGTGTTTCTTCGGAAGGCCGGGTGGGGTCTGGCCTGCTGCTTCTGGAGGAGCGCTGGACTCTGGACTGTCTTAGCCGTGCTGCCCCACGTCCTGGGGAGAGGCTTGACAGTGTCTGCACGCGATGCACAGGAGGAATTGAGACTGCACAGCTGTCTTTTTATTGTAGATAGCTTGCTTTTATTAGACTCTTTTATTTATTTTTAAATAATATAATAGCTTCTTTTTACATCATTTTGTGCCTTTTTCCATCTCAGTTGCAGTCCCATTAGGCTTCCCAGCACCAAATCACCCCTGTGCCATCACCATAGTCCAGTGCATTTCCCTCCCCCCACTGTTTTTGATCCCATTCCTCACTCCACCCCCATAAAATGTCTCTGTATATAGTTGTTCATCATTATCATTATTTCTTCCCTGGTCCTTTATACTCCTGCTATGAGTGAAGCCGTCTGGTATTTTTCCTTTTCTTCTCCAGTTCCATCCATGTTGCTGCAAAAGTCATGTGTTTTCTTTTTTGATTGCTGAGTAATATTCCATTTTGTATATGTGCCACATCTTTTTAATCCAGTCATCTACTTTTTGGCATTTGGGCTGTTTCCATGTCTTTCCAATTGTAAATAAAGCAGCAATAAACATGGGGGTGCAGTTTGAATCAGTGTTTTTGTGTCTTTTGGGTAGTTACCTAGGAGTGGGATTGCTGGGTGATCTGGTAAAACTGCAGAGCTTTTTATTTAAACACATAAAAGCATCTTTTAAATCCTATAGGCTATAATAAAAAATCAAGAATTTAGAAAAAGGATAAAAATCACCCATAATCCCAGCACAGCAGCGGTGAGCTTTCAGGACTGGCTTCCTCCCTGTTTTGTTTATGGGGTTCTGTGAAGGGCACTGCAGTACACGTTTATATCCCGTTTCCCTGTGTTGTAGCCTTTGGGCTGTGGGACTAAGCCCAGTTTCCAGATATCACTGACTAACCCGTCTGCCTGAGTTCAACTCCTGGCCTGCTGCCTAGGTGTGTGGATGTGGACAACCAGCTTTGTCGCTCTGTGCCTCAGTTTCCCCACTTGTAAACTGGAGCCACTAATAATGTGCCTGTTGGCTTGTTGTAAGGATTAGGTGAGATAAGTTGCTTAAGGATCGCAGAAGGGAGCCTGATTCACAGCAGGTGTTCTTGGCACATCACCTGCCAGGATTCACTAAACAGGTTCATCTTGTTGAACAGTTGAGTTGCTTCCAGTTCCTCATCAGTATACATATGTTTGTGTGAGCACCTTCATGAAAATGAGTCTTTTGTGTATTGGGGACTTTTTTCCTTTAGCCTAGATTAGGGGTTGGCAAACGACGGTCATGGGCCAAATCCAGCCTTTGACTTTGTACATAAGTTTTGTGGAAAAATAGTCCTAGCCATTCCTTTATGTCCTGTCTGCAGCTCCCTTATGTTGAAATGGCAGATTGAGCAATTGCAACAGAGACCATGGAGACTGCAGCCTGGAGTGTTTACTGTCTGGCCTCTTATAGAAAGAGTTTCTCAACCCCCGATCCAGATGCCCAAAGATGGGGTTCAACTTTATCAGTGGGCATGACCTTTTCTTTGGGCATGTAAATTTCACTTGTCCTTCACTGACCCAGCAGAACCCTGAAGGCTGAGACAAGGCCTCTGAGATTCTCTCAATAATCCTCTACTCAGAGACTGCTGGGCTGGAGTTAGGACCCTTGTTTGGGGACTGAGCTCTGTCCGCCATCAGCTGTGTGGCTTTGAGTGAGTCTGCTCATTTCTCGGGGCCTGTTTCTCCTTGGAGAATCTGTGTCCCCTGGGAGCACTGATGTGATGTGGGGTCACTCTGTCTTCTGCTTGGGAGGTCGTAGTTCTTAAGTGCGGGCTCTGGCTCAGAAAAGGATGTTTATACACTCGCTGCTTGATTTAACACGGTAGATGCGGGTCCATAGCCCTGCATGGTGGTGATCTAGAAGCAAAGGAGGGGAGGGGAGCTCTACCAGACTTTGGGTGCAGAGTACTACCCTACAGGGAGAACTGTAGTGACTGGTATATCCACCAGCAGCTTTTCGTGCGTCCCGGATGGACTGTAGCAAGTGGGGCTAGGGTTAGACGCTTGGAGAATTTCTAGTTGGGCCGAACTGTGTTATGAAGTGAGTGATAGTTTGTCTCTGGGGATCCCAGAGGCTCAGTTGTGTCTCTTGGGGATGGAGATGGGCTGCTCTAAGCAGCTCCAATCTACTGCTCCATCCTCTTTCTTCTCAGGGAAGTAACGGCCAGAATGGTGTCCAGCAGAGGGCGCTGCAGAGTCTGGAGCGATATTTCTACCTGATGCTGTTTAACTATTATCTCCATGAGCAGGTGAGACTGGGGTGATCAGAGCCACGATCCTTTCTCCAGGGGCCCCTCCAGCCCTCCCTACCATGAAGACTTGCATGGGAGCCTACAAGGAACCCCCATAAACCTGGGGAGGAGAGTGGGGACATGTGTATGGGTTCCAGAGGAAGGCTGTGTGAGAGAGGCAAGGAGAGGCTCAGATAGCAGGGTGGTCCCTGCCAGGTAAAGGATGGCCCACTCCTGTCTCCCCTGGGCCCCTGCTCTGTACCCATCCAGGCCTCAGGACCTGGTAGGATCTTGCTTTGGATGCCCTGGTCTGAGTTTCCCTCCTACTCGTTCCTGCTCTGAGCTATGAAGGGTGTCTCTTGGTCTCCCCTACCTTGGGGTGGGGGGAGCTTGGGATGGCCCTGTGCCCCTGAACTCCTGTCTTTCTCCGCCTTGGGCCGCAGTACCCGCTGGCTTTTGCCCTCAGTTTCAGCCGCTGGCTGTGTGCCCACCCTGAGCTGTACCGTCTGCCTGTGACACTGACCTCAGTTGGGCCTGTGGTCCCCCGGGACCTCATCGCCCAGGGCTCCCTGGTGAGTGTGTCTGGCTGTCTGGGAGGATGGAAGTGGGTGTGGGCTGGTCTTTGAGCCTCAGCCTCTTCAAGGAGAGCCTGAGCCTCTTCTCATCTGGAGAATGGGGCCCGACCCTCTTCTCGCCAGGGCGTTGATAAAGCTCCTCGTGTGCAAAAGGAGTTTGCAAACTATAAAGTGCAGGGTACCCCCTCTCCTGCACACCCCTCTGGGGCCAGGCTCTGGGGTGTGGTACCAGTCTTGCTGCTCTCCCCACAGAAGGTGGATGATCTCGTCTCCCCAGACACACTCGGCACCCTTAGAGAGATGGATGTGGCGAACTTCCGGCGGGTACCCCGCATGCCCATCTATGGCACGGCCCAGCCCAGTGCCAAGGTAACCGTCCTAGAGGTCTGGGGTAGTGGCAGGGGGTCGAGCCCTTTCCCTGACCATGTCTCTCCCCCCAGGCCCTGGGGAATATCCTGGCCTACCTGACGGACGCTAAGAGGAAGCTTCGGCACATTGTGTGGGTGAACCTGAGGGAGGAGGCCGTGCTGGAGTGTGATGGGCACAGCCACAGCCTGCGGCCCCCTGGGCCCCCCCTGACCCCTGACCGGCTGGAGGTGAGCGCTTGTGCCTTCTACACACCCCTTCCTTGGAGGCCTGCTGGGAAACTGGTCTGCTAGGAACTTCAGAAGGTGGATCCTGCTCCTGCCATACAGGTGGAGAAGCTGAGCCCTGAGAGGAGTCATCTCAGAGAGTGGCCCTCTGGCACCTCCCTGTTCCAAGTCTGGCTGTGACCTGTAGGCTTGGCAAGGGGCAGAGATGCACCCAGAAGCCTGGGCTGGCCCTGGCCAGAGCAGGCTCCCATCTTTCGGGACTGACCTGCGGCGGCCTCAGTGGCTGTGTCCTCTGTCCCACCCTGTCCTAGAACCTGGAGACCCAGCTGAAGGCCCACCTGAGCATGCCAGGCACAGAGGGCCCCCGCGCCCACAAGTTCCAGACATGCCTCACACCGCAGGAGGTCTTCAGCCAGCACCGTGGGGCCTGTCCTGGCCTCACCTACCACCGCATCCCGCTGCCAGACTTTTGTGCCCCCTGTGAAGAGGTGAGGTGCCACGCCAAGGTGTCCCTCCCGGGTAGGCGAGGCCTTGCCCTGGCCCGCCCCCTCTGGCCTGGGCCTTGGCTGTGGGCTCCTGGGAGGCAGTGGGAGCTTATTCCACAAAGCTTCTAGGGTGACCAAGTGGCTAATTCACATCATGTCCAAGTTTCTTGTTTGTGTGTATGCACAGGGGTGTTTATCGTGTGTTGTAGGTGTGCCTCGGGCGAGCATGTCCACAGCGTTTGTGGTGTGTGTATCTTTGCTGGGGATTTTGTTTGGATGCGTCTCTGCCATTGTGAGCTGTGTGTATGTGTGGTGCGATCTGTCTGTGGCGTCTGTGACTGACCCACTGTCTTCGGGTGTCTTCTGGGGAGTCGTGTGGTGCGATGTGCATCCAGGCTTTGTGGAGGAGGCCGTGGGGAACGCTTGCGTGTGCCTGAGGGGGGCTTGCGTGTCCTTGTGGTATCTGTGGGCTCGTGTCTTCATGGGCGTCTGTGTGTGTCTGTAGGGCGTGGATACTGTGTGCCTGTGTCGCCCATGGTTGTTTTGGGGGACCTGTCTGCGTGCCTGTGCCTGGTGTGTGCAGGGCGGGTGTCGGGCTCCCTGTGGGAGGTGGGGAGACCAGGGCTTGACTTCTGGCCTCACTTTGGGGGTGGGTCTCCTTGCCCATGGCTGTCCCCGGTGCCTGTTCTCTGCAGCGAGGGGCTGAGGTCTGGACCTGAGCTCAGCCTGGGTCCTGGTGGGGTCCAGTCTAGAGGGGTCCCCATGCAGCCTATGGAGTACAGCACATGGGAGTGTGTCCTGCCCGGACAGTGGGCATGGTGGGCCCCCGTGTGTGTGTTGGCTCACATGTCCAGTCCTGGTCCTTGCGGTGGGGTTCCAACTGTCCATGGGGGCTTGGGGCGGGGGGCCGGTGTTTGCACACACAGCGACTTGTGTGTGTGCAGGGAGTGGCATGTGAGTGTACAAGTTTGTGAGCCTGGCAGTGACAGGCCCGGGGGGAGCCTGGGGGTGCCTTTGGAGGGGCGGCCCCCTTGGGGGGGTCTGTGCAGCAGGAGCCGCTGCTGATCCACACCTTGATCCCACACAGGACTTTGACCGGCTGCTGGCGGCTCTGCGGGCTGCGCTGGCCAAGGACTCAGGCACCGGCTTTGTGTTCAGCTGCCTCAGCGGCCGGGGCCGGACCACCACCGCCATGGTGGTGGCTGTGCTCACCTGCTGGCACATCCAGGTACCAGAGACCTGTCACGTGGGGACAGGGGCCACTCAGGCTGTGTGGGCACTTGGTCCCTGGGAAAGTGTGGGGGCAGAGATGGTGAATGGTGTGGTCCAGGAACCCCGTCCCAGCCACCCCGGGCAGGGCAAGTGGGACTGGCCGAGCACTGGCGTGTGCTCCCGACATGGGGGAGGAGGGCTCCCCATCCCAACGACTGTGCTCCCTCAGGGCTTCCCCGAGGTGGGCGAGGAGGAGCTGGTGAGCGTGCCTGATGCCAAGTTCACCAAAGGCGAATTCGAGGTGAGCACTCCCGTTGGGGCCCCCGGAGATGCCTGGGGAGGGGAGAGGGTGAACCTTGCTGGCAGTTCTGGGGAATCCTCAGAGCTGTCCCCTCGCCACCCCCTCGTCACCCTCTACCTGTTTCTCAGAAGAGCAAACCAAGGTGCAGGGCCGCTTAGTTCTGGGGTCCTGGCAAGTGGCTGCTGGAAAAGGGGGCTGGACCCCACCCTACTGGCTGTGCTGCAGGGTTGCTGTGTGGCTGTGGGGGGGGGGAGCACCCTCTGCTGGGTAAGGTGGCCGTGGCCTCCTAGGAACCTGCAGTCCAGCTGTGGCTGGTGATCGCGGGGCGAGCTTCTGCCCCCGTCCCTCTGTTCCATTTTGGCTCATGGTGCTGGGTGGGCATCTCAGATTTAGTCGTGACTGCTTTGCGCACCTGACATCTCCCAGCAGAGCAGGTGAAAGTGTCCAGTCTGACAGGCGGGAAACGTGGAGCTCAGAGCTGGTCCTGTAGTGCTGGTCGCTGGTGTAGTGCTTGGCACCTGGCCAGGCACCCTCACCTGCCCTCCCTGCTACTCGCCCTCCACGTCACCAAGCTCTTTCAGCCTCCGAGCCTTTGCCTGTGCTGTTCCCTTGTCCTGACCTCTGCTCTCTTGTTCTCTCGGGTATCCACTGATGCCTTCCTTTTATAGCAAAATGTATAGGATAGAGTTTCCCATTTTTAACCATCTTTGAGTGGACAGTTCCGTGGCATTGTTACAGGGTAGCCCAGAGAGGACTGGGCCGCCTGTCTGTGGGGTCTCACCCGTGCTCACAATTCAGTTACACTGCAGGTACACACAAAAGGGTCAATAACGGGTTTATTTACAAAAGGGGAAAGGAATAGGAAACAACCCAGGAAGAGAGAGCGGGATACAAAGTAACTGGAATACCTTAGGGCCGGGCTGATTGAACACACGGAGTCACGCAGCCGTAGAACCCCTTCCTGAGCGAGAGAGCGCGAGATGCAATCCACACCCTATTTATCCCCCAAATATCCCAGAATTCCTGCTAGCTCCGCCCTTGGGTCCTCGCAGTTCTCTCCCTGGTCCTGCTGGGAGTTGTAGTTTCCAGTCACTGGAGTAGGGGGTAGGGTCCAGAAAGCTGGAGTAGGGGGAGGAGTCCATAAGGCTCTGCACAGTCCCTTTAGGACATCCTTCCCCTTAACAGCACTAAGGACCACACTCTGCTGTGCAGCCATCACCACCATCCTCCAGAACTTTTTCCATCCTCCCAAACTGACCGGACTCTTGAATACTAACTCCCCGCTCTCCCCTCCTGCACCCCCCATAGCTGCTGCTCTACTTTCCGTGTCTGTGGACTTGATGTCTCTGGCTACCCCACATAGGTGGAGTCACCTGGTGCTTGTCCTGCCGTAGCTGCTTATTTCAACAGCCCTGTGCCCTCAGGCTTCGTCCATGCGGTAGCCTGTGTTGGCGCTGCCTTGTGTAAAGCTGAGTTATATCCACTCTGTGCATGGGCCCCCTATTGGGTGTCCATTCACCACTGGCGGACAGTGGGCGCTCTTCTCCTCTTGGCTGTTGTGAATAATGAAACAAAAGTTCTGCTTGAGGCTCTACTTGTTTTGTTTTTTTTTTTAAATTTATTTATTTATGCATACAAGAACAGGGGTACAGGCCGGAGGTGCAGCGGGTGAGAGGTTTCACCAGAGACAGAGTGGGGAGCAGAACAGGCAGATGGACACTGCTAAGAGGAGCAGCAGGCGGGTCAGGAGAGGTCTGCGGGGCCATGTGGGTCACCTCCCTGGCCAGGGATCGAACTGTCACTGCAGTGGCTGCGATAGCTTCATAGTGCTGCCCTTTAACCCCTTGCACCACCACCAATTAAAAGTCTCTATTTTTTTTTTTTTAAAGATTTATTTATTTGTGCATACAGAGCTGGGGTACAGGCCAGAGGCTCAGGGGCGGCGAGAGGCTTCACCAGAGACAGAGTGGGGAGCAGAACAGGCAGATCGACGAAGT